AAGCTGTTGGGGGGGGGGGGAGAGGCTTTGCTCACACTCAGTGGTTTAGGTATCTGGCTATGGAACCATAAGCTGGGAGTTTGATTCCCCTTGGTGCCTCCATGACAGGGGCTGGACTCAACGATCCAGAGGGTTACTTCCAGCAGTTGTACAGTAACTGGCATGTTACAAGCACTGTAACATTGTTGTTGTTGCTTTGCTCAGTGTTCTCTGTGTAGGTGCTGTTGTCGTGGCTTCAGTTTAAATGGTCAGAACTGCTGTGAATGAATCCATTTTTAAAAAACTGGGAGCCCCAGCAGTGGAGGGGAAAAATTACAGTTTGGAGGGAGGAACTCTGGGTTGATTTGCATGTCCCTTTGTGTCATGTGTTCAATGTTTTTTTTAAAAAAAATGCAAATAAGCCTATAGACAGATATTCAATTAATACTGTGTCCCTGGCCACCCAGAACTAGGGGTATGAGTTCAACTCCAAAGGTGCTGAAGCAGTCTACTTGCCCCCCCCCCAAAAAAAACAACATCTCTAATTTAGCCTCCCGATCAAGGGATCATATGGACCTTTAAGGCTCATTAGGCATAGTATTATAGGGAAAGGATTCTCAGTGTTATGATAGAGAATCCCAATAGAAAGGACTGTTCTCTCTCTCTCTCTCTCTCTCTCACTCTATGTGTGATTTTTAAGTGGGATGGGATGGGGGTTTGATTTAGAAAGACATACCTGTTGTCCAGGTTTAGTTTCCTTACTGTCTTTGAGACGCCCCAGCCTAGAGGCTCAGAGCCAAGTCATAAGAACAAACATGGTAGGCACGCGATGGCGGTTCTTGGCATTTCTTTCCCGCAGGAATTCCTGATTTTGCAGGCTCGTAAGTGGCTTGCCAGCAAGAGCACGCGGAGCATAATCCAAGGTTACTGGGTTGGTTTGATGTACAACGGGACTGAGAAAATCTGGAGCTGGGCCAACGGAGCACATCTCCACCTCAATCTGTGAGTCTCTCTTTCTTCCTTTCCCAAATCTGTCTTCCATTCCTGGGTTTCAGGCATCAGATTTCAGCCACAGCTCCATTTCCCTAGGCCCATGCTTTTCTGGATTTCAGAAAGATATCTGAATTTAAAAAAAAAAAATCAGAGATGCAAAAAGGCTTTGACCCTCTCCCCCTTATTCTTTGGTTTTCACTCTTCCTGATCAAGTCTGCCCCACTGCTTGATCTGGCAACTGAAGTAGAATTAACTTGAAATCCATGTCTGAAATTTGCAGATTCGGAAATTTTAAAACATTAAAATTTGCTTTCTGAAATACATTTCAAAAATGCCTTTTTAGTCTTTGCATACTTACTGTTGTCGGCTTTAAATACTGTATTTTAATGATATAACCCAGTGGTTCTTAACCTTTGTTACTTGGATGCTTTTGAACTGCAACTCCCAGAAACCCCAGTCAGGACAGCTGGTGGTGAAGACTTCTGGGAGTTGCAGTCCAAAACTCCTGAGTAACCCAAGGTTAAGAACCAGTGATATAACCCACCTTAGGTCCCTTTTAAAGAGAAAGGCAGGGTACAAACAAACAAACAAACAACTAGATCAAGTGGATGAGAAAAAGAACTTGCAGCCATCTTATCTTAAAGTATGTCCCATTGAATTATCTGGGGCTTAAGTCTAGGTAAACATACATAAGATTTTCAAGTGGATATGCCACACTAGTTTGTTGTTGCCACAAGAACAGCTGGTGCTTTTGAAGAAGGAGGCTGCCATCCAAAAGAGCTTGTATCCAATAGAACCGGCTCATCTTGAACGTGCCACAACAAGACTCCAGGCATAGTATTGTGCATTTCAGCAAACATGGGTGGAGGATGCCATTAGAACCACTTCTTAACTCCAGAAAACCAGAGAAATTGATGGGGACCCCTCCCTGATATTATTTTCCCCTCCCCATTCATTCATTCATTCATTCATTCATTCATTCATTCATTCATTCATTCATTCATT